ATGTCCTGGCACAAATAGAGCCCATCTAATGGACTGCATGCATTTAAAGAGCTTCAAACAAGTTTGTTTGTGCATACTCTCACCATTAGCTAGCGGAACCCGTGGCCTTCCCTACAGACTTGCACAGTGAGCTGTGAGCAGGATGAATACACATGTGGAAGCAGAGGGTTAACAGGATGTATAGTTAGGGGGGTGGGGGTAAAACCCTTGCCGTAGAGCCAGGCCTGAGGAAAGGGGCAGGTACTGGTCTTTGGGTGTGTCGAAAATATGGCACTTCTCCACCCATCCCTCCACACAGAAACAGTGTGAGGGAAATTCTATGTACTTGAGTCAGGTTATTGCAGTTTAAAGGAAGGTCATGATTAGGGCCTAAACAATTTTGGCTTACTGCCAGCAACTCATTTTTAAAACTATAAATAGGAATGATTTCAGAGTACTCTGAAAAATAAAAATCAATGGGCAGAAGAACCCAGCTCAATTGTGTTTCAAAATATTTCCAGATACCTATCTCCTTAAATGAGGCAGTGAGATATTATATAGCACGAGGAATGCCTCTCAGATATTAACCTAGTTTATTTTTGATGAGGATTGACTACATTTAATTAGGATTTGAAAGATTTCATTTTAGAAAAGCTAGGTCTCACCCCTGGCTAGAAGAGGTGTAAAATGACCTAATAGTCTTTTCCATTTTTAGATGCTGCTGCCTCCCCTGATGCTGCATATGACTTGTGCCATTCCCCAAGGACAAAGCAGAGAGATCCTTGTGAGGCTCCTCCACCAGCCATCCTCCCAGCTGCCTGCACTGGAGACTCAGCTGGGCCTTAACCCATGGCAGTTCCTGCCAGCTGACAAGGCCACCAAAACTCTCACTAACTGCAGTAATAGCAAGAAAACAGCTCAGTAACAGCAGTAACAAAAGAGCTTCTTTGAGCTCCTTTAATCTGTCCATGAGACTGAGCCAATGCTTATCAGCCTCGGTACTAGGAAGGGGCAAGACTGGTAATTAGTGTCATGTAATAGGGGTTGCCTGTGGACAGTCCCAAGGCAGTTGTGCCGAATGTCATTGTCCTCCAGTAGTAGCCTCAGGTGTTCAGTTCTGCATGTGAAATGTATGATGAAGACTGACTTGACTTCTACTGTTGGAAAAAATAATGCAGAAAATGCAACCTTAGTTGGTCACTTTCACCCTGGAAGAGGCATTTCTTGGAGCAGCTGTCTGGTAGAGCCTACCTACAGATGCTGTTGTTGCTTCCTGAGTACACCTGGCCTTGGCTGTTTTCAAGATCACTCACAGTCTGTGTTTACCATGTTAATTATTTGACCTTTTCTTCTAAAAGGCAGCCTTGAAGGCAGATTGTTGTTGTCTGTCTGGTGATTTGAGAAGAATTGAGGATCAGCTGGTTACAGGCTTTAAAGGTCCAGTAGATGTATCTGTGTGGTTTCAGAGGAAACTTTTGCTCAGTGATGTTTGGGGTGGGTATTTCCTTCATGAGTCTTTTGCACATCTCTTTCAAGGAGAACGTGTGCGAACCCATTTAATTCATGGCTGCTGAGTCCAAAGGGGAGCTGCAGGGCTTGGGCAGCTTTGCGAGTTGGTGTAAAGACTTAGAAGACATGAAAATCAGGTGGCCGTGCTTGGCTTGAAAAAGATTTCACTGACAGAGTCTGAATTAAATAACTCTCTGGGGTTCAAAACAGCAGGCACTGTCAGATACAAGGGATTAAAGACTTTATAATGTGGCTTAGTAGTGTACAGAAGATTGGCTTACTTATATGAGCTCTTCTTTCATCACATTGATCTTTATTTTGCATTGTACTTGGTACAACAGAATCTGGAGGCTGAAGTCTTCTTTCCAGAATCATCTGACGGGGCTTGGCCCTTTTATTGCTTAGCTAAAATCTCTTTTTTGTGAAGGAGGAATTGATTTTACCAGTTTAGCCACTGTTGAGCAACAGCTGAAGAATGCTAAGTTGTAATAATTTTATGCAGATGGTATGTGGCCAGGTTGGCGAGAGGAAGTTGCTGTACAACAGGTTCTGGTACTTTATATTACTTTCCCATATAGATGTATTGATCTAACTTAATAGGGAGCAAGCTGATGAAGGAATTAAAGGCTTTGCCTGTGTGACTAAACCCATGAGGTGGTAATTGCCAGAACGATAGCTCCAGTTCTGAGGGATGCAGCTGGTTTGACAACTAAAAGTCAGAGAAGGATGAAGTTGGCAGAGACCGATGGAAGAAACCATTGAACACAGGCAGACTTTGCAAAAGAGGCTGGAAGAGGCTGGGCCTTCCTCTCTGCAGCAGCAGAATGGTAAGTTAAGCAGAAGGAAAAGTGAGCTTGTTGACTGCTTTAGTGTTTTTATGACTTATAGTGTCGTAAATGGTTTGGTGCTAAGTAAGTGTTTTGCGCTCAGTACTTAGAGTCATTACTTCACAAGAGAGTCTGCCTCCAGTCTGCAGCAGTAATCGTGGCTGATACACGAGGGATGCAACCTGAGAGCCAGTCTGTGCAGAGCAAAAAAATGAGGTCTAGAGATCTGGAGGAACAGTTAACTGGTCATTTGTGACAGCAAAAGGCAAACACAGTCACAAGTGGGTTTTTTTTTTTATTTCTTTGAAAGTGATTTTGTGTATTAATACTAGGTGGCCCTTCACAGACAGGCTTAACCTTGGTGTTTTCATGTGTTTGTTTATTTTTAATATGGCAAAGTCAAAGACACAGTATCAAAAGTAAGAAAAAATATTACATAGATACCAGTAATGTAGATATTTCGGTTATGCCAAATACTGGTCAGCTCCTGTTGTTCAACTGAAAGATAATATTGCAAGTAAGTTTTTATTTTGTTATCCTTTCATTCACCATTTATTCACCATATGATTGTTACTTACCAGGTATAATCAATTGGTTGTCCCCTGCTGCTCCATGGATATTTAATACATTGACATGGAAAAGAGACACATTTTAATGAAAAGGAAAATGCAGCTACAAAACTCCTCTTGTATGAAATGGAAGGCTGTGCTGGGTTTGCTGTTGATACTTGTGGCTTTTTGCCTCATGTTCTTCTCTACCATTTACAGATGGACATCCATCCTGCGCCTCGTGTCTTATCAGGCTGGTGCCTAGGAGAGAGTTGGGTGCAACAAAGCTCCTTCCCTCCCTGGGGCAGGCAGGAAGGGCCAGGTTTGTAGGTCAGTTGGCTTGAAACTCTGAAGCACTTCATGGAAGAGTGGTAAATGCTATCAATTAGAATGGTCCAGCATAAAGAGGAATCCAAACTCTCCCTTCAGACTCTCGGGTCTGAGGGTTTTTTTCAGATCAAAGGAGAACGCAGCATTTTGAACAAAATGTGCAAGGGCCCACCCTTCCTGAATAGCACTTATGGTAGTGTGTTCTGCCCTGCAGCTGTAAGGCTCTACAGAAGGCTTTGGGTGCCCCCTCTCCTGTTTTTCGACATATAAAATGAGAGAAATTTTGTAGATGTTTTCATAGGAGTCTCTGATTCTACAGTTTTCTCAGTGTGCCTGTGTGGAGAGCTGTTGATCATTGCCAGTTTAAGTCTAGCACCTCTAATTCATCAGAAGTTTGTGTAATGTAATACTTACAGGAGATGCAGGTGCCAACACTGACCTGTAAACCTAAAATTAAGCTGGGACTTCCAAATTAATGTCACTTACATTGTGGAAATTAGATTATAAATGGAATTCTTGTGGGAACTATAGAAAACTTCTTTGACATTGATTGAATGTAATTCTTTTCTTAATATGGTAATTTTAAATTGTGTAACCAGGACATAGTTTTAACCAGCACAGATTTGTAGCAAATCTTGCAGTGCTCTAAGTATTAACAGGAACGTCCTGTGGTGTTCCTGATGTTGATGATTACAGCGTATAGCTTTATTGCAGTTGAGTAGGCAGTGGGGCATCATCCCCCTTCCCCAAACTTGATCAGGTGCTTAATGATACAAAGCTGGCGTGTCATTTGTCAAATGTCTCCGTTCAGTCGGTAAGTTTTAATTTATAAAATGCACATGCATAGGATAACATAAAGTTAGGCTAAAGATTGATTTTGTGATCAAAACTGAATTCAGAATCTGAATTTCAAGGTTAGTACCTGAATCGGAATTTCATTTCCAAATATAATAATTAACCCCTAATTTGGGAGAATTTTGAATGGAAGACAGTCTTTCAAATCAGAGCTGGGTCTGACTAGCTCTGGAACAAAAATCTGCATTATCTTAATAGACAGCAAGTGAATGTGCTTGTTTTAGGCATCAAATTAATTTGATGAATGAAATTATTCTGCATCATTCAAAGGTTCATGTTCTAGATGACAGCATATTTGGCTTGCTATGCTGCTAGTAACAGCAATACAAAAAATGTATTTTATTTTCTTTCTTGAGAGATGGAAATATTCACATAGGTTTTAAAGATAGCATGTTCAGGTCTGATTCTTCAAGGTTTTCTCCAAATCTGATGGCATTCAGAGCAGTGAATTAACACATGCACTGTCTTTGCATGGGATTTGCATTAGATTGTCCCTGCAGGGGAACATTTAGGGAACTGAAGGTAATTTGACCTATGAAAGCACTGATTTTGAGTGTTTTACTGAAAGTAACTCAGAATATTGTGGCATTCTGTAAAATGTATGATGATGCTTTTAAACGGGATAAGAATACTTTGAGTGTTCGGTCATCTCCAAACTTGCTTCACGTTTTCTGGGAGCTGTTCCTCAGCAAGTTGTCTGTATTCTTTAACACAGGATTGCACTGGTCCTTTAATAAGCTGCTAGATGCAAAAGCAGTGCCATCAAGCTGTATAACGAGCACAGCTATGTCTCAGACCTCAGTCATTTCAGATCTTCAAAGTAATCAATAAGAGGCTGCTTTTTGCAACACTTCATTCAGAAGAACCCAGCTCAATTGTGTTTCAAACTATTTCCAGATATCTATCTCCTTAAATGAGGTAGTGAGATATTATGTAGCATGAGGAATGCCTCTCAGATATTAACGTAGTTTATTTTTAATGAGGATAGACTACACTCTTCAGCTCGTGCAGTTCCACGCTCCTCGCATGTCCCGTGGGTGCCCTCGGTCCCAACTGCGTCTGTCTCAATGTTACTTTCAGGGGCAGAGAACGTCTCTCCTCTGCTCCTTTCATGAGCCACCTTTTCACGCTTTTGCCTGAATTCACAAGAGCTCTCCGAACTGACACGAAGAAACTCCAACTCACGCTGCTGTCTTATGCAGAGCTGTCGCAAACTGGAGAGTTCTGTGTCGGTCCGTGCTTGTTTAGACTTGGCAAATTGAAAAAGTTCAGCAGTAAGGTCAAGCTCCTGCGTCAAGGAGATGTTTTCTTGTTTGAGGTGAACGATTTCTTCGTCCTGCTTCTTCTTTTCTTTCATCTTTTTAGAAAGGTCATCTTGCAGCTTATTTCTTTCAAGGGTCAGTTCTTTCAGTCTCAATTTGAGGTCTTGCTTTCCCTCGTTGAGATGGCTTTCCGTTGCTTTTGCTGCATGTAATGCACTTCCCAGACTTTTTAATTCAGATGTGAACTTAGTAATCTGATCAGATGTTTCAAGTATAACCTCATCCTTCAGCTTAAGCATGGTAAGAAGCCTCTGTTCCCTTGCTTTCAGCTCAGCTGTTTTAAGAGAGAGGTCCAAAACTGAGCGTTGGAGACTTTGATTTTTCTACTCCAGCACCTGGCAGCGAAGACTTGCTTCTGCTACTGTTTGAGACCTCTCTTTTAACTTCTGTTGCTTCAGGGGTTTTATCATTTCATTGCTCTTGTTCAGCTGTTTTTGTAATGAGCTGTGTTATATTTTATTAGTGAAACCACACCAATATTAATTTAGTCATTTTATTAAGCAAGCAGCAATAAGTAAAACAGCACTGGGCAGCTGGGGAGTTTCCTCACTCCACCAACGGCACGCAACAACCCCCCCCCAGAGTCTCTTATTCTATACTCTTCTTCTTAGGGTGTAACGTATCTCTTTCTTCCTTCTGTGGCTGCGCCAACTGTTGCGAGGGGGTCTTTTCTGCCTTCCAGTGGTCTTAGAAGGAGGGGGTTGTGTCATTCCTGGTGATTGTTTCATTAAACACATGATCACCCAACCTTACCCCAATTCTTCCCCCTATTTTCATTGTTTACAACACAGAATAAGTATAGGTTCAAAGCAAGCAAGCATGCAATTTCGAACAGACTGCTCTCAAAGAAAGTTCTGTTGGTTAACCTTTAAGCAGGCAAAATGAGTTTTAAAACAAACAAGAAAAGTAATTAAAAGAAAACAATTAATCAAAGTTTGATTAAAAAAATACAGGTTATCCATTACAAGCTGCACCGCTCTGCTCAAGTCCGTATTTTCTGCCGATCACCTCCCCAGGCTAGACGCTGCATCTGCTGTGCTGCAGCCCTGTCATTAAGTTCCTTCTCTCGGTCTCTCAGCACTGCAGTCAGAACTCGGATTTCTTGCCGCTGTCTCTCAGTGGTGCCATTCTCAAGGCGTGGGCTGAGCCTCTGGGTCGAAGGGGAACGCGGCGGTGATGAATTCATAGGGGACGGGGGGGCTGGAGTGATACCAGGCATCCGTGAGGACTGGTGACTGTCCCGTTCGGGCCCTGAGGTCACAGCGGCGCCCTGAGGTCACAGCGGCGCCCCGCCCCCTCCCGCCGCGCGGGACAAACAGCCGCTTGTGTTAAGAGAGTTCTTCAGATGAATTCGTTCTTCCAGACACAGCACGTCAGTTGATAGCAGGTAGCCCTTGCAGGTTCATTGTCCCTTCTGGCCTTTCCTTGATGATTGTTCTGTCCAAGATTTTATTCCAAGGACTGTCAAGGGAGAAGCTTTAAGACCCTACTGTATTGTATTTGCAAAGAAAAGTCAAATGTGATGAAAAAGAATCCACTTCAAAATAGACAACTGCAGACAAAACCCCACCAGCATTTTGCCTGCTGAAAATAGAGACACATTCTTCTTGTAACTCATAGGAAAGAATTACACAAATACAGTTCCAAAAACGCGGGGTGTAATAGAGAAAGAAAAAGGAGACAAAAGAAAAAAAAAAAAAAGAGAGAGAGTCCCAATAAGGAGGGGGATTGTGTCTTGACAGCAAGGAGTATTGGGGAAACACTTTGTGGAGAGATACAGTCACCAGTACTCCAAGGTGACAGTCTGGCCACTTTACATACAAAAAGAATCAAACAAGAAGAACCTGAGGACTTGAATGAATTTAAACAAAACTAGATAGCTACCTCAAGAAGTCTGCATAGCCTCAACCTCTGAACTTTAGGAACCAGCGCGCATGCTTAATGAATTTATACATAGTAACTTCTCCTCCGAGGAGGGGCATAAGGTGGAGTGAATGAGACATACGATGTATGATGAGAAGGGGGGTACATGTTAAGGGGGATATGTAGTAGGCGTACAGGGCAGTCTGTACACTCCGAGTCCCTCAGCCAATGGGGAAAGGAGGAGGGAAATTTGCAGAGAGCTTTGCCTGCTGAAAATAGAGACACATTCTTCTTGTAACTCATAGGAAAGAATTACACAAATACAGTTCCAAAAACGCGGGGTGTAATAGAGAAAGAAAAAGGAGACAAAAGAAAAAAAAAAAAAAGAGAGAGAGTCCCAATAAGGAGGGGGATTGTGTCTTGACAGCAAGGAGTATTGGGGAAACACTTTGTGGAGAGATACAGTCACCAGTACTCCAAGGTGACAGTCTGGCCACTTTACATACAAAAAGAATCAAACAAGAAGAACCTGAGGACTTGAATGAATTTAAACAAAACTAGATAGCTACCTCAAGAAGTCTGCATAGCCTCAACCTCTGAACTTTAGGAACCAGCGCGCATGCTTAATGAATTTATACATAGTAACTTCTCCTCCGAGGAGGGGCATAAGGTGGAGTGAATGAGACATACGATGTATGATGAGAAGGGGGGTACATGTTAAGGGGGATATGTAGTAGGCGTACAGGGCAGTCTGTACACTCCGAGTACCTCAGCCAATGGGGAAAGGAGGAGGGAAATTTGCAGCTGGGAAATGAGGATAAAAAGGGGGCTGCGTCCCCCAGAAAAACTGAGAGACCCCACCGGGATATGCCCCTGGACTCTCCCTTTATTCAAATAAAGTATATTTTACAGGACTCCTCTGTCTCCTGTTGGAACATCAATCTCTGGCAACGGCATTTTCCACACAACAGTAATTCAGAACATACTGAATCCTCTCCTATTACAGCTTGACCCAACCCTACTCAATAATGAAAGCAGTTTACATCAGCAGGGGAAGGGAATTTGCCTTTCTGGTAAGGTGTAACTTTGTACTTGAAAGTACTGCTAATAAAATTGGTGTGTTGCAGAAGTAAAAATGACAGTCAGAGCCAGCCACAGCTGAAGATGTTTGCTGGCATGAGGAGGTGGAAAGCTACAAGATAAAGCCTTAGACACCTTGCTTTTGCAATCTGCAGTGAAAGTAGCCGTCTGTTATTTCCTACGGTCTGTACTGTAATCATGATAGTGTTAGCTGCCAGGGCTAAAAAGCTGTTACAGAATATGAAAATGCTTAGTCTTTAAGAAGCATCTTTGTATGATTCTGTAGATACTCGGAACAAAACAGTGTGCTTCAATAAAAAGAAAATGCAAATTAATTTGCCTCTCAGTGATCTGTATTTCTAGGTGCACCGTTTTCGTTTCTTGTATGGGAGTTTCTGGCAAGAGGGCAGAGGGTGAACGGGTGTTTGTCCTGCAGCTGACTCCACAGAGAACATGCTTTGAACAAGTTCTTCCTGGACACAGAATTCTGCCTGAATAGAGAGAGTTGCCAGGTCAGAGTCAAGCATGAAAGCTCTCTTCCTTCCAACGAAAGCTTTATATGCATGAGAAGGAAATGTACAGTGCTGTTTGGTGCAGCGCTGAACCAACTTCTTCACTCACCAAAGGGAACTGGATTCCTTTTCAGATCCTCATCTGAATGTGGCACCAGATACTAAAGGAAGTCAAAGTTGGCTTGGTTTGCTCTAATGAGAGAAAACTGGAAAAAAAAAAACATATTTCCCAGTAGAAATTCAGTGAAAATATTTTATGCTGCAAGGCCAGCATTCCAAAACTGAATCTTTAGTCTTTATTTTTTTTTCCAGGGAATGTATGCATGATCCAGTAATACCATAAGTTACCAGAAACATATTTTAGTAAAACCTCATTAATCAGGGCAATCTGATCTAGTATACCTGATGTTCATTACACTTAATGAGGAATGACTGAGAAAATGTGGTCATCAGTGCCTTATTGGATAGCTTTGTGAAAGGTGCTTGAGCAAAACCCCGTTTCAGTTACTGTCCATTGAACAAGCTCCTTGAATAGCGATGGTCTCACTGCTTCCTGTTTCTCAGGCATGCTGGCAGTAGGTCTGAAAAGTTATAAAACGATAACCCTCAGGATGGAGTGTGCAGACCAGGCTGGCTGTTTATCAGGGTGCTGAAATCATGGATCCCACATCCTTCTCTGCTGTTTCTCATGCTCTGCTTGCGTTTGGCAAGATGTTGCTTCATGTGGCATGTCTCCCTGGTGCCTACAAGCTACGTGGCCCTTCAGTGTCTTATCATTTCCAGGGCTAGTCCAGGCTTCAGAAAGCCTCCGAAACCCACACCCCTGCCTGCTGGCTGCTTTTATTTTGTGTGTTCACGCTGTGCCCATAAGGGCAGTGAGCTCCTGGTCCATCACAGGACTATATACACTAACAGAATGGGGGCTGAAGCGGTTTTTCTATAGAATTAGTTCCTCTGCTCGGGACCTCCTCTCCCTTCAGTGTTTCCACTTGAACGGAAAAACACCCTGTTCACTAGTCAGCCTGACCATAGTCCCAGCACCTGCCAGTAGCAGTCACTGTGATGATAATTCATTGAATTGCCAAGTTGAAAAGTACTGGAATCCAATAAAAAGACAAACAAGAAGCTGGTGATATTTATAATTAAAACAGCTTTCATGAGGAAAAAAAAATGGAGGCTGGAGAGTGACATAAGACTACACAAACATCAGTCTGTATCATTTGGTCTGTTTGGGATAATGGAAAAGAAGTCTGTACAAAGAAAAAGCCCTTGTTTTGTTTTGTTTTTTTTAGCTACTAAAGTGTTTGAAGAGTATTTTAGTAACGAACAGCTTTACTTTTAAAAGTCTTCTAAAAACCTACTGTTGCTGAGGTGCTACTTAAAATCAGAATACTCGGTGGAATGAGCCCAGCTCCCATCCCATAGGTGAGTGAACGCAGCTACTTGTCATCCTGCTGTAAAACAAAAAGGGAACACGTAGCTTATAGCCCAGGAGCTGGTGCATCGTACCTTTTTTTTAAGAGAAAGCAAAGCCGGCAAGGTCCACCTTCCATTGAGCCGTCCGAG